GGCCTGCGGGCCCTGGGCCAGCGTGAGCCTGGGTGGGCCGGCCTCACCTCCCTCAGCAGCACGCAGCCTCTGCTCCAGCCTCACACCCTGGAGCTCCAGTGCGTCCAGCTGCCGGGCGATGTCCTGCACCTGCCGATGGATCTCCTCCTGGGTCAGGCGGGCAGGGTGTGGCTGTGGGGTGCACAGGGCAGTGAAGTGCTGCTAAGGACAGGAAGAGTGAATAGCCTCCCATGCCCCCCTCCGCAGCCCACTCACCTTAACTGGGGAGACCAGAGCCTCACGGGAGGGCATGGGAGGGCTAGATGGGCCCACGAGGGTTCCTGTGGAGGGGCAAGATGAGCCTGCTGCCCTCTCCCACCCCCCACCCCCTGCCCTGCCCCTGCCCACAGTGGGATCCTCATGGTGAGGGCTCAGACCCCCTTGGCCACCCACCCCAAGGGCCCCTCTGGTCAGCTGTCTCTCCCCGTGGCTCTCCAGAGGGACCACAGAAGGCCAGAAGTTTGGATTTTGCTGTCCCCCACCCTGGCATTCAGGGGGCATGGTCACTGGGTCACTTCACCCACCCCTAAGTTGACCAAACCTCCAGGCATCTGCAAGGTGTGATCCTTTGCCCCGGAATTCCTTCCCTCCATTCTGCCTCTGTCAAACTCCTGTTCATCCTTCAAAGCCCTACTCCGCATCTCCTTCCCAGGAAGCACCTCCCTCCATGCGCTGAAGGGAAAGCCAAGGTCTTTGGGGCTGACCTGGTTTGTCCCGAGAGTGGAGCTCTCCCTCCTTCCGGTCGGGGGCCTGGGCTTCCTGCCCTGAGGACCCGGTCAGCAGCAGGCTAGCAGGTACGGTCAGCCTTTTACGGCGAGGAGGGGAGGAGGCTGCTGCTACCAAGGAAAGGCAGAGCCACATCAGGCCAGCAAGCCAGGGACCTCCAGCTCTCACTGCTGCCCAGAGCCCGGGGCCCGCCAGTGGTCAGAGAGAGCCCAGCAGGGCTGGGGCTGGGCACCACCATGCAGGCACCCCATATGACAGGAGTCACCCCTCTGGCTTTGTCCACCCAGGAGGGCAGGGTGCTTTGCTCAGGACCCCAGGTGGTGGGCAGCCCTGACTAGGCAGACAGCGGGCTGGAACCCCAGGATTCTGTCCACGTTACCTGAGAGGCTGGGCCCGCAGGTCCTGTCAGGCTGTACAGGGCTCAGTGTGATGGAGACCCCTCCCTCAGGGCTCCCCAACACCTTCCTGGGCGGGGCTCCGGCTCTCCACTCTCCCTGGGCTGAGGGCTCCTTCAGCTCCAGAGTCCTGGACAAAGGGCAAGAGGTGAGCCCCCAGTGGATACCCCCAGACCTGGGTCGCCATCGGGCACCAAGCCAGGTGCAAACGCACCCATGCACGTCTGGCCCAGGGCCAAGAAGCTGGCCTGCCTACTTCTGGACACCCAGGTGTACTTTTGCCAAGTCTGCTGGGTACCCCTCCCCTGCAGCACCTGTGGAGTGCCCACTATATGCTGGGCCCAGGCTGCATGCCATATGCAGAGCAGTGCCCATTGGGTTGGCAGGGACCCTTCAGAGGAGACTACCAGGCCTCTCTTCCGAGGCTCCCGCCACAGGGTGGGTTTGGAGTCCAGCCTTTGGGCAGGGCCAGGGTTCCCCCATGAGACGGCCGGTGCTCGCCCTGGGACTGGCCTCGCGCACTAGCACACCCTCAGCTCAGGCTACCTTGGCTCACCTCTCAGGGGGATTTTTCTTCCCTACAGGTTTCAGACGGGTCCTCCATCCGGCTGGGCCGTCCTCCGGACCCTCCTGGGGGCTGCCACTCAGACCTGGGCGGGGGCGGGAGACAATCAGATGGAGAAATGTGACGTGGGGGCTACACCCGACCACCTGCCCATGGATCTGCGCCGCCCCCAACACCCAGGCCACATAGGGGGAGCACTGGACTGGGAGTCCAGAGACAGGGACAGAGCTCTCTCTCCAGGCTCGGAAGGCTGGGCAGCCGGCCAGTGTCTCCATGTCTGTGCAGGACCAGCAGTGGGACTGGTCACTGCCCAGTGTGGCTTTGATGGCGGGAGACCAGCCTGACAAAGCCCAGGCTCCCCCAGGGATGCCCAGGGACCTGGAGGGGCCAGCACCCATATGGAGAGGCCAAGCGTCCCAGCCAGCCATGCAAGACCAAGATCAGTAGCTGGCCACTCAGGAGACCACCCCAGCCCAGGGAGATGGGCTGGACCACAGGTAGGCAATGTCCAGAGGGTGGTTTTCAGGGATGGGCGACTGGCCAGGGCTTCCCAGTGTGACCCTCCAGGGACCCAGTGGGGCCCAGGTGTCAGGGCTGGGCTGGGGCCCCACGGCTAAGTAGCACCGTGTCCTGCTCACCCTTCCCAGTCAGGGGCTCCTCCAACTTCACCCTGGAGCCCCCTCCAGCCCTGCTGCCCTCTGGGGTGGTAGCTGGGCTCTTCCGTCCAGGGTGGAGGGATGCAGGGGTCCCGAAGGTGGTCGCCAATTCAGCCCTGGGAGGGTGGGACTCTCTCCTCGCCGCAGGGCTGCCGTCAGGAGTAGACGCCTCCCCTAACTGCCCTTTGGCTCTGAAGGCTGAAGAGGTGGCGGGGGGCAGCCTGTTGGTGAGAGGTGGGCTTCAGACATGGAGTCTTCATGAGGCCCCCTGACACTGCCCCTCCCCCAGCAGAAGCCCATTGGCCTGTAGGGGGGTCAGCACAGGGACGGGAGGAGGCTGAAGGCAGCCACTGAACAATTTACAGTCGAGATGAAACACACACACCCCTTGAGGCTAGGGGTCCTGGGCCTGGGTTGTGAAGACCCCACGCAGAGTTTGGCTGCCCCAGGGGTCATTGAGCTGGCAGTGCCACCATGGGGATCCCCAGCCTGCAGACTCAGCGTCCGGGCGGGCCAGGGACACTAAGTCCCCTGGCCAGCTGCTCTGGTCATGGAAGGCCAGGCAGTCCCTGAATCCTCGCCCTGCCTGCCACGCCTTGCCTCTTTGGCGCCAGGGTACATCTTAGAAGGAGCTGGGCTCCTCCCCACCTAGAGCCCCCCAGGAAGATCCTCACTGAGCCCAGTCCAGAGCCTCAGCCCCTAGGGGTGCCCTCAGATCCCTCCATCCCCCAGGAGTGGACAGATCCTGTGTGTGTGTCCCCCCCGCCCTTCCTCTCATGATGCCCCAGCACCACCTGCTACTGGGCAGGAGTGGCCAGGCAAGCTAGGGCCAGGGGCACTCACCCAGCTCAAGTTAGAGGAGGGGGTCCTGAGTGGGCTCAGACAGCCCCTCACGCTCTAAGTGCCTCAAACCCCAGGGCCCTGGGGTCCATTCCGACTCCCAGTGGCCTAAGAGGACGGCACAGAGCCTCAGCCCTCTCCCTCGGAGCAGCTGGTGGTTGCCCACTGCTGACCTCACAGTGGGCAGCCGCTTATAACCACTAGTCACCAGGGCCCCGCATTCTCAAAGTGACGGGCCTTTACTCGGTCCAGAAATGCCCACTCCACGTCTGGTGAGTGGAAGCTCATGAGCATTGGGTGAGCCTTGCCTCGCTGGGGGCAGGCAGGCTGGCACCCCACCCTGACACCCGCCCTGCCCCTGAACCAGACGTTAGACCCTAAGATGATGGAGGACAAGGTGTGTCTCGGAGAGGCCACGAGGACACACAGGGAACCCTAGCACCCCAGTAATAACCAGACGTCCTTCCCTCCCTCAGGCACCCCTCCACCCCACCCTGCTGCCCCCTGCACCCATGTTCCAGATTTCTGGGAGCAGTCCCCAGGTCTGACAGCCAGGGCAGGCATCCCTGCCCCTGGCCACTCAGGCATCCCAGAGACCATCAGTGTGGAGGGGTGGGTGGGGCCCACACCCCAGCCCCTTCCTCCTCCACTGACCTGCCGGGTCCCTCCGGGCCTCCTGGAAGGGTCTTCTTGAGGAAGCTCAGCGCCTGCTCCCGGTTACTGTCCCCTGGAGTCCTGTCCCCTGGAGTCCTGTCCCCAGGGGCCGCCTTCCCAGGCCCCCTGCCTGCAGAGCCATTGCTGAACTCCTGAAAGAACCTCTCACGGGCCTGCTGAGTCTTGGAGGCCAAGGGGGTCCAGGCTGCAGTGTCCGAGGGGCTCAGAGGCGAGGGGGTGGAGTTGAGTTTGGCCTGTGGAGCTGCTGTTCGGGGGGCAACCTGGACTTGGGGCAGAGCTTGGGGAGGGTCCCGGGCACTCGGGGGTCCCGTCAGCTGGGGCCTGGCTGCCGCAGCACCCTGAACTGGTGAGGACCACCCGGTCGGTGAGCTGTTGGTGACGCGAGTGCTGGTTTGGGGCATGGGGCTGGCAGTCACAGGGCCGGTGTGTAGCCTGTGCGTATCAGAGCGGCCCCAGTGGACAGGAGAGGAGGCGGCGGCGGTCACAGCGGGAGGGACAGAGGCGGATGGAGTGATACTTCTGGCTGCTGGGCTGCCGGGCACAGACTTCTGGGCTGGCTGCTTGGCTGCAGGGCCTGTTTCTCGGAGCCCGGTCCCTTCCCGGACCCGCCATGGAGTGCTGAGCAGCCTGGGGTCCGCAGTGTGGGGTCCTGACTGCCTGGGAGCCTGGCCCGTCGACGTGGGGCTGGCAGGGGTGGCTTGGGAGTGGTGGTTAGTGCAGACAAAGACACCGGGCTGCCCCGTGGCCCGATAGGCCCCCGAGTGTAGCGTGCTAGAACACTGTTTGCACCTGGGGGAGGAAAACACGAGGAGGCCCTGTGGCAGGCCTGTGTCCACTCGCTGTGCGCCCCTGCCAGCACCGCGGTCGTGAAAACAAGGACCAGCCCTCAAAGCTTGCAGGAGGCGGCTGGCCTCGAGTGCCCGGAGCAGAAGAAAGGGAAACGCACAGACCTCCCGGCCACCGGTCGATGCAGACTCCCCGTGACCCTGGAGGGCAGGCTGTAAAAAACAGCCTGGGGAGTTTCTGCGACCATAACTCTTTCCGGAGGCCCCTTCTCTCTCCCTCGGGAGGGGGGAGGGCGGGTGGTTTCCAACTGGCCACCGGTCGATGCAGACTCCCCGTGACCCTGGAGGGCAGGCTGTAAAAAACAGCCTGGGGAGTTTCTGCGACCGTAACTCTTTCCGGAGGCCCCTTCTCTCTCCCTCGGGAGGGGGGAGGGCGGGTGGTTTCCAACTGCCCACCCTGCGGATCGCAGCCCAGCGCTTAACCACTGCGCCACCAGGTCACCGGAAGAGAGTGTCCGGAAGAGGAGGAGGGGCTGGAAGGTGTGGCCGACGGCCCCCACCCATAAACCACTGCCTCCTTTGGCAAGATCAGAAGAACCAGATGGTGCCCTGTGTCCCAGGGCGCATGCGGATCATAGGTCTGTACCCGGATCTTGGTCAAATGAAGGGAAATGTGGAGTAGGACTTCCCATTCTCACGGACTCCAGACTTTCAGGAGCCGGGGAGGGGAGGTGAACCCCTGAAAGAGTTGCCCTAAGAACACCTTTGCCCCAAGACACCCCTTTATCTGAAACAGCGACAGCGGTCCGCCTGGAGGCCTGTGCTCTTTACACTCAGGTCCCTCTGCGACATGGACCCGCCAGAGGTAGTTGGAGGGGACAGAGAGGACGACGCGAGGGCCGAGGGTCCCCAGGGGGGAGGGCGAGGGGCAGCACGGCTCGCAGACAGTGTCTGTGGGGGCGCAGGGTCTGTGCTGTGGGCGGTCTCAGACAGACCACTTGGGTTGCTGTGTGACCATTGGTCTCAGAGTGAAAGCCTGGGGCCGGAGACGAGGGACTGAGTGTCCGCGTGGGACGACATCAGGGAGGCTTCCTGGAGGTGGTGCTGGAGAAGGTGGGGTTCTCAGGGATGGGATGGGCGTGTGGGCTGAGGGAGAGTGGGTGTTGGGAGCCCTGGGAAGCTTTGGGTGGGGTGTGGGAGGACCCACCGGAAGCAGTTCCGGTGGTAAAGCTTGCCATCCACCAGGTGTCGCTGTACAAGGTGCACATGCTTTCGACAGACTGCACAGGTGCTGCTGACCACGGAGCTGCCCGAGGGGGCCAGACCCTGGGGAGGAGCACTCGGTGAAGGCCAGCAGCCCCTGAGCCCCAAGCCCACCCGCCTTCCATCTGCTCCTCTCAGACAAAGGGTGAGTAGAAGCCTCCTCTGAACAGAGGGGACACACAGGTGGGCTGCACCCCAAGGCAGCGCCTCCACCTGGCCCTGAGGAGGGGTCTCAGGGCCCCGCCTATTCCCCAGGAGCCGGAGTCGAAGCCTGTCCTCCTACCAGGCAGCTGATCTGACTCAGGGACTCTCTGTCAGATTTCCAGGGAGGTCGGTCTTTAGTGGAGCAGACAGCCTCATCTTTGTCTCGAGGAGCGGCTGGTGGGTTTGAACCGCTGACCTTGCAGTCAGCAGCCCAATGCCGAACCCAGAGCACCACCAGGCTCCCGTTCCCAGCGCACAGTGCAGAGCAGCTCTCCCACCAGCAGGGGGCACTCGAGCACTCAAGCACGTTATCCCTGGCCTCGGTTTCCACCTCCTGAAAAGTGAGGTCCCCTGCACCCCTTTGCCAGGCTGGCTGAAGAGCAAAGGCTGACCAGCCACCCCTCCTAGCAGGGCCCATGTGTGCACCCCACACCTTGATCTGCCTCTCTGTACAATGGGTGCGCAATCCCCCCATGCAGGCCTCAAGCAGCCCTGAGCTGTCTTTCTGGGCCCTCTTGCTAAAGGGGGGGGGGCACTGAAGCTTGACCATGGGCTCCCAGGGGTAATTCCTGCCTGTTTTTTGGGGGGGTCCCCTACTCCCATAAGACCCCTTCATGGGGAGCTGGTGGAAAACCCGATACCGGTTGGAGCTGTCAGGGGGTGCTTACAGCCTTTGGGGGAGGGCCCTGCGCCCCCGCAGCCCTCCCCTGGACAACAGGGTTGGTCCTGACTGGGGTCAGCGGCTGGCCTCGGGGTGGGCTGGGTGAGGCCAGCTGGTCTGGGGTCTTCTTGCCGGATGGTTCCTCCTCAGGGGCAGACGGGGGTCTCTTCACACCAGCCATGCCTCCAACTGGCAGGAGAGAGGCGGGGGTGGGGGACTTGAGCTCCCCCTCCCCCCCACAGGGTCCCTGGAAGCACCTAGCTCAAGGAAGGGTAGCTCTCCTGCTGGGGGGCGAGGGGGGGGAAGGGCAGCCCTAAGCAGAGCCGGGACCTCCCCTCCCCTCCCCTCTCCCTGCGAAGGGACTTTCTGTCCCAATGGGCAGGGACGTGAGGTGACTGTCCCCTTGCCCTGGTGATACGATAAGCCTATACGCCCGCCCGGTTGGGGAATGCAGGCTGGGGCCTGGGCCTCTGGGTGGCCGGTGGGAGCCTGGGTTCCACCCCCCTCCCTGCTCCCCTGCTGCACAATCAAGGAATGGTTCTGGAGCTGGGCTGTCCCCTGGCCAGGACAGGGGTCCTGTCCCCTCCCCATGCCGCCCCAGAGAGACTTAGCCTGCCCCCACCCCCGCCTGGGAGCCTGTGCCGGGCTGGTAGGGAGGGACACTCACTGGGTGAGCGACCGTGGAAGTAGTTGTAATACTGGGACGTGTAGGTCAGGATGCTCAGTCTGTCTGGCACCTTGAGGGCCACCATGTCTTCGGCGTCCAGCAGGGCCGGGATGCCCAACTGCTCCTCGGCCACGCGGAAGGCCTGGGGACAGGGAGCATGGCGCGGGGTCAGCAGGACCTGGCAGGGACCCCATCACCTTTCTGCATGGACACCCAGAGAGGTTTGGTCCGAGGGGTGGGTGTCCTGTGTGTGTTCCTGGCACCTCCAGTTACCTGTCTCACCCCCGGTTATTTAGGTAGGGAACCCTTGAGATGCCCCTGGACCCTCACAGGCCCGGACCCCCACACAATCTTGGTCCCCAGCACCCTGGACACCTCACACACCGTTGGCTCACACAGGCCTTGCCAACAGCCGGCACCAGCCCTAGCATTAGGAATGGACCACCCCTCAGAGGGGCTGCTGCACCCTGGAATGCTGAGCCCCCTCCCCCCTTGGGTTGCAGGGGACACAGACGCCCGGGTCCTCAGAGGCAGAGGGCCGGGCAGGGTCCTCAGGGCTACAGGGCCATAACCCCTGCTGCATCGGACCTGGCCTCACCTCCTGCCCCAGCCCCGACGACCTTCACTCCTGACTCCACAGGGGCCTCCAAGACCCACCCCCAACTGCT